CCCCAGATCGATCGAATGGAAATTCCATTCTCGTTAAGTGCCACGGAACACAAGTTGGAGATATTCGAGCAAAGGGAGAGGAGGCAGACTGGCCGTGTCACACGGTTCAGAAGCAGAAAGCAGAAAGGAAAGGTGGAGCAAAAAAGAGGGGTGGGGGGAAAGAGACAGATAGAAGGAGAAGAGTAGGTTTGTACAGTATCTCTCTGCCAGCAAGGCGAAGCAGATTAGAGCAGGTCGGGACACTAGGAGATCTCATCTCGTCCTCTCTCTGCGGGCAAGCAGCTTTTCATTCTCTCCTTTCTACCCTCGTCCTTCCGCTGAATCGTTCCATTCTCCTGTCGCCCTTGAATACCTCTCGCCCTAACGATAGAACGTACACACGGGCCCCTGCGCGAAACCGACGGCCCTTTCGCAAGGATGCGTCGTCTCTCGCTCCTTATCGCCGTCACCTACCAGAAGGAAAAGAACGGGGAACCGGTTTCCCGGTTCGCCTTCCGCCGTTTAAAGAATCGCTTGTTCATTTAATATGACAGCTTATTACGCGCGTGCCGATCGCCTCTTCTCCTCCTCTTTGCCTACGTTGGCTCGATCATGCGCTCTCGGTTTGAGGGAAATCAGTTTTCATCGCCGTCGCCGTCGAGGAGAGGAGACGGTTGGTTAACTTGGTTAACGCGGTTCCTAAACTGTCCATTTCCATCGGAATGCGCGTAGCGAGAAGAACGGAAGAGAAAATATAGCGGATGTTGAAGGTTGCGTGGGAGTTTCGGGCTGTGAAATCCGTTGATCCTCCGATTGTGTGAGAAACTCGGCGGAAGGGCACAATGGGGCCGATTTAAGGTCCGAATAAATGGCTCTCTGAAAGCTGTGGGCCTGCACGCATATACATCTCGAAGTATTTATTTCGAGAGACCGCCGTTAATGTGTCGTCGTATCGCGAGGGCACGTTCCAGCGTGCATTAAAGAATGCGCTGGTCGTTCACGGGGGTTGCACGGGCGGATCCTTCTGCACAGAAGAAAATCGTTCGGGGGAAAGGATTTCACGGAAACGCGTCGGCTATCGGGCCGAGGGAAGTCATTATGCAAATACAAAGCTCCGAGGCGGTGACTCGTATTCGAGAGGCTTCGCGTCGACGAGTCTCTGCTCGTGAAATTAATCGCCGACCGTTTAAACGCTCGTAATGTTTCCAACACAGGCGCCATTTCTCTTCTCGTAGAGGAGGATTTATTGGAACGGTCGGCTCTCGTTGTTCGTATCTCGGTTCGTATGGCCCGTTTTATTTCGCGAGCAGGAGATTCGCATTTACTCGCATTTACTCGACAGGACGAGAAGCGTGAAAGTCATGGAAGGGAGAATGATCGGCGTCGACGAGTACGTGGACGATTGATAAATTCGGCTGGAACGACGCGGCGCATCGAGATGCATGCTGGTGCCTTTCAAGCAAGTTGGAACGAGCTGACGCGTTTTATGGGACTCGGGGATATTGATGTGAATGCGGGCGTCAGAAGAAAAAAAAGAAAACCAGTCTATCCCCAGACATGAGAAATATCGCTATCCGAGTTTAATGCGTCTGAATTTGTCTCTCCATCGCGCGGATAGTCGAGCAGCCGATCCTGCGGTTGTTGGAGCTTCGTTCGCATCGATCGAGCGACTTGTTGCGAGCCGAAAAGTCGTTCGATAAATCAAGTTGGAATGACGTTGAAGAAAGTGACGTCCAGTTGAAATGTACATTCACAGATCAGCTTGCTTATAAATAACGCTATCTAAAGAGTTCTGAAAGCATATGAAAGATCAACTTGACCGATTCGAAACGAGTTTTAACTCTCCTCGAAAATTCGAAAACCGATCTCGTATCGGTTTTCATGCAACCAGGAACACTTGTCCTTCTAAAATATAGGCGTGCGTGCAAAGTATATCGCGAGGCGAAGGAGGAACGAGAGAACGAGGAGATCGTCTCTCGAGGAAAGAAGACGGCGATAATCTTCGTGGCTGGTCCATGCGCGCGATGAAGAAGAGGATTCCGCCTTTTCGCCGCGGGGCATTATTCTACACGTGCGAACATTTCGCGGGAACAATGGTCCCGGGTCGTTAAGAGGAGTTTTCGTTCCGAGTTAGGATCGTGTCCGGGCCGGTATTATTCCGACGGGTTCCTGGAACGGCGTTCGTTTGTCGGCAAAAATAAGAAGCCGTGAAAAACTGTGAAAGCCGCGGAGGTCCTCCGGAGGTACCTGCTGCTGCCGTCGACTGGCAGTCAGGCAGAACCACGAAGGACCTTCTTTCCCTCGGTCTTTCTCTCTACACGTGTTTTCTTTTCCCCGTTCCCTCTTTACTTTACGAGGTTCTCTTCCTCTCTGCGAGGAAGCCGGCCTCTCAGCCCTTGTCTTCTCTCTCGTCCTTTCTTCCTTGCACGTGTAGAGAGCTCATTGTTCGACTCTCTTGGCTGGCTGGCTGGCTGGCTCCTCGCGAGGACGTTTTCTGAAACTAATTGGCCCGTCGCCTCGTTAGACTCGAAATTCAACCGCTGGATGACCGACTCCGTTAACGCGAATATAGCCACTCCGATCGTTGAAAACCCAGCTGATCTTCAGTTGGAGTTAATTATCATGCCAGTCCTTCTGACGACTCGGTCGTTTCTCTGAACGACCGGTGTAGAAACGTTCGAAGAAACGTTCAAATTTTCCTGGAATTAATCATCACGAAATCCAAATGATGAAAGTTTGGCAGATTGGTAGATGCTCGAAGATTACTTTTGAAAACCCCTGAAACTACTTTTTCACTATAGATATCGCCCTCTGTTAATAATTAAGATCGATCTTTCTGTTCGTGGAATTATTTATT